CCCATTTTGGAGGGGTAGCTTCCAAACATTTTATTTATTTGAAGAACATGTGTATTGTTCTACCCTCTATCACGCGATTTTTTGTGCTACCTTCAACTAAAATGTAGTACCCTTTATGTTAAACTACGCAGGGTTCTGTTTTTCAAGTTGTTGGGCATTTTGTTGTGTGTGTGGGGGGGGGGCAGCTTGATCCCCTCTCCCTTCTTTCGTGAATTGCTCTTCAAAGGCACGTTTCGCTACGCGTGGCTTCGTTGTTTTGTCTGCTAATTTCTTCTAATTGTTTTACAACCACAATTAGCGGAATATACAAATGTTTGTGTGCTGTCCTTATTTCGCGTATATCGCTGGATATATCTCAAGAGTTAAGAGTGAAGAGTTCAACTACTGTTTAAACCGAGTAAATTTGCGTTGTTTCCTTTAGCAATTTGACTCGAAAAATTGTCAACCTAATTGCTAGGCAACAGATTTTCATTACCTAAACAACCCAAATTTACTCGGTAAAATACAAACCTCTTGTGCAATTAGAAGTGAAAAATACCATAAGCGAAAACTTTAATTGCATCAACCAATGCACCAGTAACTACTAGAAAATTAACCTTGAATGTAGAGGAAAAATCCGTAAAATTACAAACATTTTCTTGACTAATTATTATTTAATTAATTAAAGCGTTACATAAGTAAGTACCCCGGCGTGGAGCTCTCTGAAAACTATCCCATATACCTCAAAACATTAAACTTGGAAGTAGACTGAAGTAGTGCTACTCTAATTCGTAACAAAGTAACGTTACGAGAAATAAATCTCTTAAACGAAGATCTCGAGCCAGAAATTAAATTAGCTAAGCGAGACAAAACATTGACTTGGAGCAATTAATGCTCGATTACAAATACAAGGTGAATTCAAAAGACTAAACAATGCAAGATTTGGTTAATTTTGGATTTCGATAATCGTTCTTTAGACATCCTCTTTACTGAAATCATTCTGTCATCTGTCAAATCATTTTCGCTTCATAGCAGACTTGCTAGTTCACCACTTGATCTCAGTATTTTACTGCCGTGATAGCAATCAGCACAGAAGTAGCAATATAAGGGCTAGGTCCTCCTTGCCGTTGATCATAGGTCGACAGGTTGCCCCGGGTTCCAGACGGCGGCAGAGTGGAGTTGAACCAGTTGGTTTTTCTTGTATTCTTCTGTTCAGCGCCCCAGAAAGGTTCAAGGACCTCCAATTGCATTTGAGGGAAATCCTGGGGCGCGCCCTCTTTATTTTTTGTGATCTACGAGTGAGTATGTTAGGAAAAAATCGAATTCGTCCCCTTAGCTCGCCACGGAGCCCCAGAAAGGGATGTCCACATAGACACCAGAACTCGCATTTTGTTGTCTTTTTGGGGGGGGGGGGGGTTATTAATCATTTACTAAGTTTTTGAAAGAAACGTGCATAATTTTTATATACGACAACCAATTGGTCTACAATTTTGCATTCGCATGCCTTTAGTGGTTTCAAGTAAAACTTTTGAAAATTGTGTAGGGAGAGGGGGGGGGGTAAACATGTCCCACCCCTTATCGTATTCTAATGAAAAGTCTCATCGAAAATCGAAATAAATTAGGTTGTACAAGTTTTCTACCAACTATATACTTCCCTTCTTTCTGGCTCCTTATCAAAAGAAGTGGTTTGGGGGAGGGGGAGTGGAAATAGATGTATCCTTCATGGTACTCCAATGACAGGTCTCAATCAAAGGAATTAATTTTTACCAACCATAGCCCTCCTCTTCGACCCTTTATACGGTTTTTCGGAGGAAAGTACTAACAAAGGCAAAATAGACATATCTATTGGCGAAGCCGAAGCAAATACCTTGACAACGAAGAGTGTCGGAGGAGGATAAAAGGCAATTGGAACCAAAGCTTTCAGTGCAAATATCTGCAGAATGGAGTTTTGGAGGATTTTGAATGTATTCCAGGCGGCCTTTAAATGTTTACGTGTAAAGAGCCTCCTTCCCATTAATCATGTGCGAAGAAAATAAGCATCGATAGCATGCTACTACAATATAACCCAACCATTTACTAAGCTATTTCGGTTTTAAAAAAATGCGCTTTATCTGTACAATCTATGCCTGTTTATTTCTGTTACCCAATTTGTGATATATAATGAAATCGATTTGTTTGCCTAGAAATTGCCATTTTTTCTGGTGAAAGAACACAAAAAAACTTAATTTCATATGCTTCTTTTACACTCACGTATGATTTCGTAGCAAAATATGAAACCCCGTCTAGGATGAAAGACACTGTTGATAATGCAACCGGAAACGTCACAAAATTGTACACAGCTTACGGAGAATCAACTCACCTGGCTACCAAGTTCATGTGAACAAATAGTTTACAAAATAGTACATTATATATCAAGGTAGAGAAGTCCAGTATTATTGCCTGAGCACCAAGATTACATCTCGAGGCGCTTGCGCCGAGGGGTGTAAGGTGCGAAGGCAATAATAGACTTCTCTACCGTGGTATATATATACTATTTTTTTCACTACTAGCACTTGAAATCCTCTAAATTAACATATTATATTGATAAGAGAGTTAACGGTTGGACAGAATTTTTGTTTATTAATTTAACATGTCAATCAAGTACGTGGAAGTACAAGTCAAACAGGCCGTATTTTGTTCTGTCATTGAGATTTTTCAAAGAGTAATTTCGTTCGAATTTTTTCAAATGTGATAATTTTAGGTATGTAATTTCTCTGGAAATTGCGAATGGTGGCAATTATTCGTTTTAGAGAACTTGTCTAAACGTTCATTGAGCGAAATTTCGGGTTGTGTTTTCTAAAAGTGACAGCGTGACAGTTCTCATTATTGACTACTAGTTAATAATAAAAAATTATTAACCACTTTGACCAATTGCCGAGAAAGCCTACTTTACAAGTGGAAAAAAGGTTAATAATCATGTCATCAGACGCTAGTAGTGAAAAAAATACATTATCAATTGGATAACAGGAGTAAAAGATCACTGTGTAGAAGGATATAGCTCCCGCAGGTGACAGCATGCAGGTCTGATTTCGCATCGAGTAGGTCATTAAAGAACAGTCCACTTTCCGCTGGTCAATCCGTTACCGCCCGCTCTGAGACCGCTTGCCCAATCGGCAATCTGACTCGACGATAGAGCCGATTTATCTAGATAGTGAAATCCTGGCCAATGCAGTGTGTTGTCGCCACTTTAGAGACTGCTAAACCCCAGTCATCTGCCATTACGGGTCGCCTCTCATGGCATAAACACGTGGGTGCTGCCTTTAAACGGGATTTTCACTTAAGGCTGTCTGTGCTTCCCCT